CAGCGATGTTTAAAAGTTCAAAATTATTTTTCGATCGACTGATTTCTGATTGCGATTTCTAGATATCATAGACTTCTGTTCTAAAATACTCCAGAAAATTTCAAAAATGTTTCTCTTTTTTAGCTCATTGAGGTATTTTTGTGAAGCAGATGTTGACGGAAGTTGTATTCCGTAGACGGAAGTTGCATTGTAAACCGTGAACGGAAGTGGTCTCGCATGCTACCCCTCCCTACTTACTAAAAGTCAAAATTAATTTCGATTAAGCTCAGAAACTCACGTGGAAATAAATAAAATGTTTGCAAAGTTTAACAAAAAGAATAAACTCAAATCACATTTCCAAACTTCTAAAAATGCAACTTGAATCGAGAAGCTGAAATGTTCACAAATGCTCTAACAAGCTGTCTAGTGTGTCAGACGAAAGAGAAAAAAAAGGCAATGTTTTTCTGCGAATTTAAATTAGCAATAGGCGGCAAACAAATATAAATTTGTGATAGAGTATTTCATAATACGACAACAACAAAAAAAAAAAGGACTGGGTTGCTTTCAACACATTCTGTGACCACGCCGAAGAGCATGAGAGGCAGCCATATTTGTAAGCCGCCCATTTGCGGTTGACTTCAGCTTGTATGACGTAGTCATTGCTCTATCATTCTGCTTTCCTCGGGAGCTTTCTTTGAATCTGTGAGACTCCACTTTACAACTAGATGTTCAAAAGTGGAAAAAAGGACTGAGAACGTTTAACATTGGATGATGCTTAGCAAACAGATTCAAGCCCTTTTTATTTATTCATCGATTATGGAATGGATGGAGAGATTATAGTAACATCAAATTTCGTTAAGGAAAAGGAAGCGGCTTCCTATTCAAAGGCTGCTGCGACACTGATGTTCGTATTAAGCTTCATATTAATTTTCTGTTCAATTTCGGACTGTTCAACACCTAAACTTGAATGCAACAAAAATATTAATAATTAAAAAAAAATCCAAAATTGTGCGCAATCTCGGCAAATTATTGATAAAGAAATTGGTTTTTACCGACGCACTTTTGTTCCGACGAATCATATGCCATGACCAATCACGGGGCGCACGGCGTTTAGTCCGTTTTGTGATGAACACAAAAGGCAACTTGTGTAGCTGAAGAGGTAACAGCAGATATTTCTCACAGCAGGCCTTCCATTTTCTACGCAATATATTATTTTCACGGAAATCAGTCTTCAAGCTTGAACTATGATTACAGGGAATATAAATTTGCCGCTGTTAGACGATGCTATATCCAAAATGTCGTTTACCAATTTGATAAACAGGTAACTAAGGCAAACAGCATTGTTCAGAGGCAAACTTCCGCCCTAGAACCAGAGATAACTTACACAAAAAAATTCCTTGTTTGTAGCTAAGGATAACCTGCAAAAGAGTGCATTGTCAATGTTGTTTTAAATATATTGTTCACCGCTAGGTCTATTATCAGACTTTTTAGGGCATAAAGGCTGAATTCAATGCAGTTTGATAGGTAGAGAGATTGTCAGTGTCTTAAAGTCCCAGTCAGGTGCGAAACTTGGAGAACAAAGAAGAAAAACTCGAATATTTTAGGGGTAACTATGCATCTGTAAACATACATTAATTTTGAATAGCTTCAGGTAATCTAGCTATTTTTCTCAAAACCGATATTTTTAACAAACTTTGCATCCGAAACTTGCATTAATTTTGAAATTGGACGTTTTCTCTCATTGTGCCTGAGCTGATAACAATGCATGGCGTCCCAAGATCAAGTGAATTCATAATTTACGCTATTATCTGGGTAAGGCAGCGAATTTGATTTAAACAACACTTCGGCCGATGCGTTGGTCAAAGGTCGACTGTCGGTATCCTATCACCGAATGTTTATTAAGGTGAAGACGTTTTTTTCTGAAGTATTTTGAAATTAACCTATCACAAATACACTTTTTTTCCCCTTATTACTAATTCAAATTCGTGCAGAAAAACCGGCTTTTTTTCCTCTTTCGTGTCACAAACCTCACAGCTTTCGGGCGTTTTACAAAGTCAGACGCTACTGATGAATTTTTACTCTCTGCAATTGCTATTCAAAAACTAAAGTTAACTGATGTTGACTTGGAGGGTGCTGTTAAGACGAGATCTTCCTCGTTGTAACTAAGGATTACGTAAAAAGGGGTAAAACGACACCAAGATGACGGCGACAACAAATATGTCGGGAAGTGGAACACATACAAAAATATTTGACGGATCGCTATGCTCCTCAGTTTTGGTAGGTGAGGTTAAACAACAGTCCGTTTCATTCTCAGCAGTCAACATTCTCCTCTCCATCACAG